ATAAAAAAAGGGTGATAATTTAAATATTAATGGGGACATCCAAGTAAATTACTTTAGATTTTATCACTGTTCAAGGAAAGCCTGTAAGTTGCATTCTGTATTGAGTCCATGTGGATCAATGTGCCCAGCCTAAAGATCCACATTTTCTCTTTCTGCAATAGGACCGTATTGAAATCTCCTTTGCATTGTGGTAAAATAAGTATGTAAATCCCTTTTACACGAAATCTATCAGGTTTACCTCCATGAAGCTCCACAAAATGTACTACGAGAGGGCTTTCATCATGTTTCCTCCTAATACTACGGATATGTTCACCAATGCAGACCCAAAGCTGCCTCTTGGTCTTGCTGATATATTATTCACCACATGGGCATTTGAACATATAGACCAAACATGTGGTGGAGCAGTTAATAAATTCCTTGATCTTAAATCTTTTAGACTGGTCCACACTGGTGAGCACATCTGTCCTGTCAACATATTTACAAATCTGGCACTGTTCACATACCTATTAAAACAGATAGTCAACCAGTTTCCTGCAGGTTTTTTTCTGGAACTCGAAGTGTACCACAGAGTCATATAGATTGCGTGCCATCATCAAGGGAAATTTTGTGAGAACATACCAGTGTTTTGTAAGGATTTCTTTAACTTGTTCCCATTGTGAGCCAAATTTTGTAATAATCCTCACAGGGGACATGTTGTCATTAGATTTCCCACCTGGAGGAGAAGAATTGACCAGATTCTTTCTATTACTTGCCCAAGCTTTCTATTTGGCCCTCCTTAACACTTTATGAGAGCAGCCCCATTCTCTAAACCTGGTATACATTGGATCCACCATTTTGTGATCTGCCCCTGTTCTATTTATTCTCCCTTTCTTCTTTAGTATTTCGTCCCATGGTTGAATCCATCCTTCTTTATTTATTTATTTTCTATTTCTTATATTGCTCTTCTTTTTTAATTTATTGATCTTCACCATAAAGCCTGCTTCTACATTAGTCCTTGGTGTGTCTTTCAGGGTTCCCCTTTAAGTCAAGAATTCTGTCATATCCTGTTTTCCCTTAGGAATATATTCTGGTTAAAATTTAGGCTACTGCTAAATTCAAGACACAAAGTTCATCATACAGTAAATAGTGTATTTGGGTGTATGTATGTTGCTGGTAGGAGGGTGACACCCTGCGGTCAGGTAAGAAATTTCAGATCCATATGGTATAAAATGCTTTACGAACTGGCCCCTCCTATTCCTGAAGAAGCCTGATCTCATTGAAAGGCGAAACATTTTGGAAGTGATGTCATTACGCACGTCAATATTTTTTTCAATAAATCCTTTCTCTTTTATGTTGCCTGGTCCTATTAGTAACTATTCCTCTGGGTTCCTCAGAATCTGACATTTTGTGATGTTAAATACTAATTCAGCATTATCTTTCTATCATATTGTATTATATTTCTTTTATATCATTATCTATCTGTCTACAATTTTTAATGGTCTTACAACTTACTCATCAAATGACCAAAAATCCTAAGTGATGAACCTTTTAGTTTTGGGCTTCCAAGGATCAAAATCACTGACTGGATAGGTGAATAACTGTAGACTACTGCCACACACAGTGGGAACCATGTGCTGCCAATCAGTACAACGTTAAGGAACAGTGAGATAACTGACAAATAGAAGCACAAATAAAGGACCAGGAGAGAAGTGATTGTTCTAGCTGCTGCCATGCTTGCATCTACACTTTGTACATTCATACCACCAGCACTCCTACGAAGAAGCCTTGCATTGCTATACAGTGATTTTAATACTATAACATCAGTAGTACCAACAATTACAAGAGGAATGCAGCAGCCAAATATGCCGGCAATCATTAAATACTGTGGATTTTTTTGTGTTATGTCTTCTTCTTTAGAGGTGCTGTTAGCTGTCACTAGTTTTGAAATGTTCCATGATACTGGGATACTAATAATTATGGCTATTAGAATAGACAGAGCAAGCATCCAATTGACTACTTCTGACATCCTGCTTTTGAGCTGCATAAATAAAGGATGTTTAAATGATACAATATTGACATAATAGAATACGCACAGACACACAGTGAACCAAAAACTAGAGAAGATGGTGAAGAGCAAGATGAGAGAGAAGGTAGTATGCACTTTGTATGAGAAATATAGTTCATTCCAGAAAAACAGAACAAGATCATTGGCAATGAGAGTCAGCTGGTAAAATATATTAAATAATCCAAGTGCGGAAAGTATGATTTCCCTTGGGCTAATGTTTCTGCCTTGGACTAAGTCTATTCCGTGATTCAGTATAATGAATGGATTGGTGAAGAAACCAATGGTGGAACTGGCACACAATGCAGTAAGAGATACTACAACGAACAGCGGCAACATGTCTTCTTCAGTGTTGGGAGGCTCGTACGATAAATATATTTCCTTTTCATTTATATTTACCTGGGGAAATAATTTAACATTCTTTATTACACCTCAGTTGTGTGGTACATTTGCCAGCAATTGCAAACCTTTTGCTATGTTAAAGTGATTGTAAAGGTTCCAATGTTTTTAACTAAATAAAGAAAGAGGTTTATACTTTCTTGCTTTGTGCAATGGTATTGCACAGAGTAGACCCTGAAACCCCCTCTTGTGGTGTCCTCCGCGGGTACTCTTGGCATTTCCTCTTCTTTTTCTGCCCCACAGCAAGCTGTTGGGGCAGACATGAGGGATTGCTCCTGAGCCAAGATGTGTGTGTCTATTGACACACACACAGCTTGGCTCAACCCCACTTCCCACCCCCTCCTCACTGGATATGATTGGCAGCAGGAGCCAATGGCTCCTGCTGCTATCAAACTGGGAGAGAGAGAGCAGCATTGCTCTAGACAAGCACAACACTGGATTAAACACAGGACTCCGGTAAGTATTTAGAGGGGGGGGCGAAGGTTTTTTTTTTTTACCCCAAAGAGGAACAGTCTCCTCCCAAACAATGAATACTGTAGCTGCTGACTTAAGGATATTTACCTGTCCAGGTATCCAGCACTGTCCTCACATGAACCAATTGTTCAATGGTCTTTTGATTCAGGAGCCAACATTTTAAAAGAGAAGTTTAAGTTTTAAGTTTAATTATTTTTTTTTTTTTAGAAATCATACTACAATACTGCATCTGAGCAACCAAACACCACTGATCGCTCAGTTCCCAGTGTCAGTCACTGTTTGTCACCGCTCTCTGCTCTGCTCCCTTCCAAACACACTGGAGCGCTGGGCTGTAAAGGGTAGCAGGAGCAGCTGAGCCAAATCCGGGCCAGACATCTGGGTGGTTCCCGACTTTAAAGTCGGGATCTTTCCCCAGCCTGAACCAGCTGAGTGATGTCAGCCAACAGCAGACTTTGGCCCTCTGTCAGCTGAAAACAGGCCACAGGTGTGCACTCTTGTGATCCACATAAGTACAGCCAAACAAGCTTTGTGTCAGGAATGGATTCAGCACTGGTGGTGGGACTCTCCTGCCGTGTGGGCTGCAGTACCAGAGCTGACCAGCGGGTGCTCTCAGCACTGGTGGTGGGACTCTCCTGCCGTGTGGGCTGCAGTACCAGAGCTGACCAGCGGGTGCTCTCAGCACTGGTGGTGGGACTCTCCTGCCGTGTGGGCTGCAGTACCAGAGCTGACCAGCGGGTGCTCTCAGCACTGGTGGTGGGACTCTCCTGCCGTGTGGGCTGCAGTACCAGAGCTGACCAGCGGGTGCTGCTCTTAGCAGCCAGAAGCTCACAATCAGCCAAACCTGGGGGGCTGATTACAGAACGGTGTATATAAGGCATGACCAGGCCTGTGCTCTGGGCCTTGGTGTATGTTTTCCCATGAGCCCCTGTATCCTGTTCCTAGTTCCTGTGAGAAGATACCTTGTTGCCGACCCTGTCTGATCCTGATTCCTGTTGACCGTCTCCTGTTCTGACTACTGGCTCATCCCTGACCATCCTTCTGCCTGATCCTCTGTACTGCGCTGTCCGTGAGTTACTGAACCCGGCTTGTGACCTTGACCATTCTCTGCCTGCTCCTTTGATACCTTGCTGCCCGCACGTTGCTGACTTGGCCCGTCTGACCACGCTCACTACTCTGCCATCCATCCATCCTGCACGGATCCAGCCGTACCTGCACATACCTCTGGCGGATCCCTCTATCACTAGCAGGTGTACTCAGGGGCCGCGACCTGGTTCCTGTCTGCTCCAAGTCCATCCCCACCATCAGGGGCCCTGGTGAATAGCAGACTGGGACTTAGACTCCGCGCCCTGGGGAATCCTGCCCTGAGGACCACTAGAGGTACCACCAGGCAGTCGTTACAGAACCCTACGGCCGGCCTGACCATTCCACCTCTCCAGCCCTGACTACGCCTGTGTTCCTGCACCTCCTAAGATTAGTGGAAGGTTGGTTTGTTCACTGTGCGTTTATATATATATATATCTGGGTGGCTAATAATAACCTGTATTATACTATACCTGAAACCTGCGTTTCCCTGTGTCAGTCCACACCTTTCTGGTCATTCCTTGATTCCTGACACTTTGGCTGTACTTCTCCTTTAGCTAAGGGAAACTGGATATAAAGCCTTGCAGCTTCACAGCTAGCTTCCCACTGCGCATGCACGAGCCGCTCTGCAGCTTGTGAATGGTCCCGCAGTCTTCTGGGACCTGTAATGTGTCCCAGAAGGCTGCAGGCGAAAGGGGGGGGTGAACTTTCACTTGGATCAGCTAGGTGATTCAGGCATAAGTAGGAGCGGGTACCTGTCAGAAACAGGTACTGATTTCCACCCCCCCCCCCACTCCCCCAAGAAAAAAAAAAAGGTGCCAAATGTTAAAGAGGAGGTTGGGAGGCCAACAAGCAGAATTTCCCCTTTTGAGTAAAATTCCACTGTAATGCAGGTAATGGGAAACCTTGTGACTTTAGAACCACTTCAATGTGTTACTAAACCCGGGACCAGGCATTCACTATATCTGGTCTCCCACAGTACACAGAACATGGAAATGCAATTATTTTAGTAAATATAAACTGCTAAATACCTTTTCTCATCAGCAGTATATAGCAGTCTTGTGACTTCTGTCAGTGTCCAGCAGAGCACATGTTAAAGCTTGTAGGAGGAGTTTTCATTTTGCTCTAGGAGGGTGCAGAACCCTTGACATCTGTCTGGACAGTGCTGATTGACCCTCTGCTGATCAGATGCACTCTCCCAAGAAAAAAAAACTAGCAATACACACTAAACTGAGCATGTGCAGCTTTCCCCCAGAGCCTCTGTTAGTTAGTTTCCCGCAGTTTCCAGCAGTGAGAAATGTTTTCAGTTTATATTATAAATGTGGCTACTGCTAAGGTCAATGTCACACTAGACCAGCAGCAGGATCACTAGAAAGGGCAAAAAAATCCATATGTTTTTACTGTGTCAATACCTTTCTGGGCAGAAAGGCATGGTTCCCTTACAGATGAGTGAGATTCTGCAGGGGTTCAGTCAGTTGGGGAATGGTGCTGCTTCATTCCATCCAGTGAAGGATCAATGTTATAGAATCAGGTGTATTTTTTTGCCCTTTAGAAAATCTTTCATTGGTGAACAAAACATGGATAGCAAAGTCAAAGTGATTTTTTTTTTTGTCGCAGTCTTTACTCATAACTAATGTGTTTTACTTTCAGAGTAATTGCAAGGGTTGGCATACCTCACATCTTGACATATCAATCAGGAAGTTAATCCTGGTCTTGTTCCAGGTAACAATTTTTATGGGCTGTAGTGGTGGCACTACATTAAAATAGAGGTGATTTTGCCACTTCTCATGCCACCACAGCTTAATGCAGCTATTTTCAATCAGTGAATTCCTAGGTGGTCTAGGGCTGAGCTGTGACTGATTGAACTCCCATCTCATGGTTCCTGCATATTACTATGACCATTACCACATGGCAGAGCCAGCAGAATAACATCAATGACATTTTTGACTGTCTGTTAGGTTAACATTCTGACCACCACAGTAAGGGGGGGTATTCTCCCCACTGGCCTCCAATGTAAATTGGCACTGTAAATTGTAACTGATCACCAATGTAATGGGGGCATTCTTCCTAGTGACCACCAATATAAGGTGAGTCTACATTCTACCTATTGACCACCACCGTAAAGGGGTAGTCGCTCAACTGACCACCTACAGTGGGGATCGAAAGTTTGGGCACCCCAGCTAAAAATTTGTATTAATGTGCATAAAGAAGCCAAGGAAAGATGGAAAAATCTCCAAAAGGCATCAAATTACAGATTAGACATTCTTATAATATGTCAACAAAAGTTAGATTTTATTTCCATCATTTACACTTTCAAAATAACAGAAAACAAAAAATGGCGTCTGCAAAAGTTTGGGCACCCTGCAGAATTTATAGCATGCACTGCCCCCTTTGCAAAGCAGAGACCTGCCAGTGTCATGGATTGTTCTCAATCATCGTCTGGGAAGACCAGGTGATGTCAATCTCAAAGGTTTTAAATGCCCAGACTCATCTGACCTTGCCCCAACAATCAGCACCATGGGTTCTTCTAAGCAGTTGTCTAGAAAACTGAAACTGAAAATAGTTGATGCTCACAAAGCTGGAGAAGGCTATAAGAAGATAGCAAAGCGTTTTCAGATGTCAATATCCTCTGTTCGGAATGTAATTAAGAAATGGCAGTCATCAGGAACAGTGGAAGTTAAAGCAAGATCTGGAAGACCAAGAAAAATATCAGACAGAACAGCTCGCAGGATTGTGAGAAAAACTATTCAAAACCCACGTTTGACTGCACGATCCCTCCAGAAAGATTTGGCAGACACTGGAGTTGTGGTACACTATTCCACTATAAAGAGATACTTGTACAAATATGGTCTTCATGGAAGAGTCATCAGAAGAAAACCTCTTCTACGTCCTCACCACAAAAATCATCGTTTGAACTTTGCAAATGAACATATAGACAAGCCTGATGCATTTTGGAAACAAGTTCTGTGGACCGATGAGGTTAAAATTGAACTTTTTGGCCGGAATGAGCAAAGGTACGTTTGGAGAAGAAGGGGCACAGAATTTAATGAAAAGAACCTCTGTCCAACTGTTAAGCATGGGGTTGGATCAATCATGCTTTGGGGTTTGTTGGCCAGTGGCACAGGGAACATCTCACGAGTAGAAGGAAAAATGGATTCAATAAAATTTCAGCAAATTTTGGATGGTAACTTGATGCCATCTGTGAAAAAGCTGAAGTTAAAGAGAGGATGGCTTCTACAAATGGATAATGATCCTAAACACACCTCGAAATCCACGGGGGATTACATCAAGAAGCGTAAACTGAAGGTTTTGCCATGGCCTTCACAATCTCCTGACCTCAACATAATTGAAAATCTATGGATAGACCTTAAAAGAGCAGTGCGTGACAGACAGCCAGAAATCTCAAAGACCTGGAAGACTTTTGTAAGGAAGAATGGGCAAAGATACCTCAAACAAGAATTGAAAGACTCTTGGCTGGCTACAAAAAGCGTTTACAAGCTGTGATACTTGCCAAAGGGGGCAGTACAAGATATTAACTCTGCAGGGTGCCCAAACTTTTGCAGACGCCATTTTTTTGTTTTCTGTTATTTTGAATGTGTAAATGATGGAAATAAAATCTAACTTTTGTTGATATATTAAAGAATGTCTAATCTGTAATTTTCATGCCTTTTGGAGATTTTTCCATCTTTCCTTGGCTTCTTTATGCACATTAATACAAATTTTTAGCTGGGGTGTCCAAACTTTCGATCCCCACTGTATGTAAGGGGCATTATTCCTACTGACCCCGATAAATTAATTTTAGCAAGTGTTCCCTGAAATCTGAAAATGATTCCAGGGGCTACTGTAGGGTAAAAAGGTTGAGAAAAGCTGGCTTAATGTGTGCACTGGAGGTGGCAGCCTCCAGGGACATTAGACACTCACAACCTCTCCCACCACCAATAGAGGCTGCCTTTTGCACCATGCCTAATAAGTTGTATGCAGATCATATCTCCTCCAACTGGTTTGATCACATTACAGTTGCAAGAAAAATGTATGTGAACCCCTTGGGATTACGTGGAGTTTTGCATGAATTGGGCATGAAATGTGCTCGAAAACGTCATCTAAGTCAAAACAATAGAAGAACCACAGTCTGCTGAACATAATACTACACAAACATTAGATGTTGCCATGGCTTAATTGCACATAACATGTAAACATTCACAGTGCAGGGAGGAAAAAGTATGTGAGGCCCTAGCTTTAATGACTTCTCCCAGAGCTAATTGGGGGAGCCAGGAGTGAGCCAACCTTGACTCCAATCAGTGTGATGATATTGGATGTGTTGCTGACAGCTGTCCTGCCCTTAAAAAAACCACACACCTGTTTTGGGTTTACTGGTTTCAAGAAGCACTGTCTGATGTGAACCTGCCTCGCAGAAAAGAGCTCTCAGAAGACTACGATCAAGAATTGTTGACTTGCATGAAGCTGGAAAGGGTTACAAAAGTATCTCCAAAAGCCTTGATGTTCATGTGTCCACAGTAAGACAGACTGTCTTCAAATGGAGAAAGTTTAGCACTGTTACAAAAATACTCTCCCTAGGCGTGGTCGTCCTGTAAAAATGACTTCAAGAGCACAGCGCAGAATGCTGCATGAGGTAAAGAAGAATCCCAGAGTTGTCAGCTAAAGACCTACAGAATCTCTGGCACATGGTAACATTTTTTGTTGACACATCTACAATAAGGAAAACATTAAACAAGAATGGAGTACATGGGAGGACACCACGGAGGAAGCCATTGCTGTCCAAAAAGAATATTGCAGCACGTTTGAAGTTTGCAAAAAGAGCACCTGGATGTTCCACAGCAACTACTGGGCAAAATATACTGTGGACAGATGAAAAACCAAGATTGAGTTGTTTGGGAAGAACACACACAACACTATGTGTGGAGAAAAAAAGGCACAGCACACCAACATCAAAACTCATCCCCACTGTAAAACATGGCGGAGGGAGCATCATGGTTTGGGGCTGCTTTGCTGCCTCAGGGCCTGGACGGATTGTTGTCATTGATGGGAAAAATGAATTCCAGAGTTTATCAAGACATTTTTTTTTTTTAATTCAAATATTTCTTAATTTTTCATATTTATAAAATACATATAAAAAGGGAAAAAGGGAAAGAACATAATAATACATTTCTTCAACAATCTCATTATAATATATAAAATTCTTAATCCTTTTCTCTTCTATTTCCCTTCTTTTTATATCCCTTCCCTCCACCCCTACTCCCTACCACGTCCCACCACCCTCCCACTCTGCATTTCTCTCTTACATCCTTCCCTATAAAATCAAGAAACTTCTCTTATCATTTCCCATTGCTTCACATATATTCGTTTGATGTACAAAATCTTCCCATTTCCCCCATCTCCTATTGTATATCTCTACCCAATCCTTTTCTCTTGGGCACCTCTGAAAACTATGCCAGAATTTAGGTATTCAAACCCTTTGCTGCATTCACATAGTACCATATACCCAAATATTTGTATTTATTTCACTGGTAACTCTGTTTATGTAATAAACACAACTTTGGATCTAATCCTATCTTTATCCCTGAGATTTTCTTTATTAAGTTGACCGTTGTCTCCAAAAGCTTTGGATCATTGGGCACTCCCACCCATATATGAAACCACGTACCAATCTTTTCCACACCCCCGCCAGCACTTTGTGTTCTCTCTTTTTTATTTTATATTCAACAGTCGGTGTGATGTGCCATCTTACCAAACACTTATTTTTTACCTCCACCTCTCTCATGCTGATGTTTTCGTGTGTAAGTCTATATATTTTTTATCTGTTTTATCCTCATCTATCTCTATCCCCAAATCCTTTTCCCATTTTTCTATGTACATTGGTTTTTTTTTCTTCTGTGACTAACTCAGTGAGAATCTTATAAATTTTTGCCGTACCCCGTTTCCCATCTCCCCGTGATTCCAACAACCTCTCAAACAAATTCCACTCCTTTCTCCCTCACATAGGTTTCGGAAGACCCTCGACAAAGTGTTTTTAATTGGTGATATTTCCACTCATCAATCTTAATAAAAAGTTCCCCTCCACCTTTCTTTAAATCCTTCAATGTTTTCAATTTCTGTCCATTCATAATATCCCTTAGTTGAATATCTTCCTTTTTAATCCATTTTCCCACACTTCCCTCTATACCTGGTCGAAAATACTCCATATTCCTTAGTGACATTAATTGTGAGTTAAAATCCCATTTCATACACTTATGTAAATTATCCCAAAC